GGGCTCTAAGAAAAGCCGTCTCGGGTGTGGACCAATCAAATTCAAGGACAGTGCCAATATCATTATCGGAGTTGTCTTTTTTGTTTGCATTTTGACTGCTTGTGTTGTGGTTATTGCAAACATGATGCCATGAATTAAGGTGTCAGTTTTTGTACCAGTTAAAAGGGTCAAAACCTATTCCTATATCTTGTTACTGGCAAAGGAGATCTCATAAGGGGTTGAACTTTGTTCGCACCGCACATCGCCAACCCTGAGAGTGTGCGAGCGTGCGAGCGAGCGCGCGCGTGGGATGGACAGCGATTTGCTAGCCGGCTTTGCCCGACGCACGGCGCGAGGATGAAAAATACTCGACGCACGTTCCACTCTCCAGCTGGTTGGCTGCATGCGTGTGTAGTTGTCAGCGATGCGGAGACGAGGCATGTATATACTGGGGGCTGAACGATTAGTCGATTTCAAATCGGTTTCACATCGATATTTTAAAAAAAATGCTGCGATTTTTTGCGATTTGAAAAGTCACTATTACTTTCTTATTGGGTTTTTATTATATTTTTTTATTGTAACTTTATTTATTTAACTTAACAATTGTTATTCTTTGGGTCTTTCGGTAAGTCACGTAGATAGGTTCTTTGAATTCCAGCAGTCAAGAAAGCTTTAAGTCACGACTGAACAATTGTTCTACGTTTGATTGTTCTTTTTCAATAAAACAAAAGTAATGAATACATGTTGGAAGCAATTCATATCTATTAAGTTCTCATCCTTGCATTATAATACATAGAGCAGTTCATATTTTGATGGTATCATCATGGGAATGCTCCATCACGTGTTTTACATCTATTACACAGTGAAATAATGAACTGAAGCTTGACTTGAAAAAATGTAATCGCAAATCAAAAATCGCAATATCTGTCAGAAAAAGAAATCGCAATTAGATAACCCCCCCCCCCCAAAAAAAAAATCGTGCTGCCCTAATATTGTATACGGATAGATCCACGCCGCCTCGATTCGAAACCCAGGTGGGTCCTCAACGATCCCATCTCAGTGCCCCGACACGGGATGAGTTCCACTGCCGCGTGGATGATGGTTGAAGGAGAGAGAGAGAGTCTCTCTCTCCGTGTGTGTGTGTGTGGTCAGGTTGCGCGCGTGAGTGTGCGTGGACGTGACGGGCAGAGCGGTAGCGCACAGCGCGACGAACCCCGGCTGCCCGGGTTCGATTCCCTCCCCCCTGCTCACGGCCAACGCCAAGCGGGCATTATCCGAAGCGGTTCTGGGCCTCCCCTAGGTCGACTCAGCCTCAAAGTGAGCACCTGGGTGGGTGCGGGTGTGTAAACTCACTTTGAGGCCGAGTCTACCTAGGGGAGGCCCAGAACCGGTTCCGATAATGCCCATTATAGGGAGACAAAGGATACGGTCGGGGGTGGTGCTGGCCACCAGCCCCATCTCCTCCTCGTGTGCGTTAACAGCACTTGCCCCAACAGTCTGTTGAAGGCTATACGAGGGAAGGGGGGGGGGGGTGAACCTTTGTCTTTGTCATGCGTGGAGCGTCTCAAAGTGTGTCCTGCTATATCCCGGCACACCGCATCGAGTATACCCCCTCTCGCTCTGACCGTGTCTACGAGTTACCGAATCGACGCAAACAAAACGATCGAAGGTTTTGTCCCCCCCCCTCCCCCCCTTTTTTCCGGCAACAAAACAGTCGTGTTAAGTTGTTTATAAAACGCCAAAATGAAACCTTTCACGTGGAATCATGTCTGCGTTACCCACATATACTTGCGGTCAGAATGCAAACACAAAAACGTGCTCTGATAACGCAACAAAAGAGTTCAAATATGAACTCGCATGTCCATCGCTGCACGAATGCGTTCATTCAGAGACGTGCCTGTATCGCTGCACGTATGTGTGGATGAACGCAAGCATGTCTACATGCACAAGCCGTACTGTGTGTGTCTGTGTGTGTGTCTGTGTGTGTGTGTCTGTGTGTGTGTCTGTGTGTGTGTGTCTGTGTGTGTGTGTGTTTGTCGGTTGCGTAACGCTGTGTGGAAGCTACCTGGTCTGTCGCTCCGCACTAAGCTTCAGGTCTTCTCGGACACGGTCATTCCCTCCCTTCTCTACGCTTGCGAAACGTGGACCCCCTTAATGGAACATCTTCGCCGGTTGGAAACATTTAGGCTGGCCTGCCTACGATCCATCCTGGGTTTAACCAGGCTGGATTGTGTGAGGAGCTCCCAAATCCGTGAAAGATCTGGGCAAGGTCCCATCGGTGAGCTCCTCCGGCAGGCAAGGCTGCGTTGACTGGGTCATGTAGCCCGCATGCCCAGCCACCGCATGCAGTAACAGCTTTTGTTCGGCCGGATCGAGGGGGCTAAACGGGCGCGGCACGGGCTAGAGAAGAGATGGAGTGATGTGGTACAGGAGGACGTGGAGCTGAGTGGACTTGCCGATGACTGGTACCAGCGGTGTCAAGATCGGCCTCTGTGGAGGAGGCTCGTGAAGGACGCTATTGGGCAGTTGGAGGCAGTCGCCCTCCAACAACAACGGAGGGCGGAGGACCGACGCTCACAACAACGAGCGGAGCGCCGGGTGGCTAAAGCACAGCAGGTTGGCACAATAGGGGGCACAGGTGGTGCACCAGCCAGTCATCTCAGTCAGGCGACCCGTGGCACCTGGGTCTGCCCCGTGACCTCCTGCCCGCGGGCGTTCAACACTTCACGTGGCCTCAAGGTGCACATGGCCTGGCACAAGCGTCGTGGTGACGTCACCGCCACTTAGTGGCGAATGGCGGTTGTTGTGTGTTTGTGTGTGTGTCTGTGTGTTTGTGTGTGTGTCTCTGTGTGTGTGTCTGCGCTTGGTTTGCTTGTGGGGAGCGGTAGTGTAGTGGTTAGTGCTACGCTGCGCTATGAACCCGGCGACACGGGTTCGATTCCCGCTCACGGCCAACACCCAGTGACGATGATCTGAAGCGGTCCTGGGCCTCCCCTAGGTCGACTCAGCCTCAAATGAGTACTTGGTGCGTTGTGCAAACATCGCCACTGGGGAGACAAAAGCGGCCGGGCGTGGTGCTGGCCACCCACCCCCTCGTGTACCGTTCCGGCCTTCATAGGTGGTGCTCGCTAACAGCACTTGCCCCAACAGTCTGTTAAGGCTATACGGGGGGTCGGGGGGTCTCTGTCTTTGTTATTAATCGAGCGGTGGTGCAACGGTTAGCGCGCAGCGCTACGACACCAGGTCACGGACCTCGAGTTCGGTTCCCTCGCTCACAGACACGACGATTATCTGAAGCGGTTCCGGGCCTCCCCCTAGATCGACTCGGCCTCAAATGCGTAGGGAGACAAAGGCGGCCGGGCGTGGTGCCGGCCACCCACCCATCCCCTCGCGTGTCACAGTACCGGGCCTTCATAGGTGCTGCTCGCTAACAACACTTGCACCACCCCAACAGACTATTGTGAAAGGCTACACGGGGGATCTTTGTCTTTAAAAAAAATATAAATCGAGATGTGTAGGGATGCCTGCCTGTGAATTGATTACGTGTGTGTGTACGTACATGCGTGTACGCGTGTGTGCTGCTCACAAACAGCACTTAGCCCACCTATTGTGTGAACGTACCTCGCTGTTCATGTGTTGTTCACACACACACACAATCATCATCATCGTGTGTGTGTGAACAATAAATGGGGCGTGTGCTTGCGCGCGTGCGTCAATTGATTCGAACGAATGTATCGCATGCCGTGTGTGTGTGTGCTTTATGCGTGAATTTGACGAACCGGTAACTGGGCCTCCCCTAGGTCGACTCGGCCATCAAACGAGTAGCCGGTTGCGGTGTGTAAACATCGCCAGTGTAGGGAGACAAAGGCGGCCGGGCGTGGTGTTTGGCCACCCCACACCGCCGGCCTTAATAGGTGCTGCTCGCAAAACAGCACTTGCCCCTATAGTCTGTGACAGGCTACACGGGGGATCTTTGTCTGTGTACGTGTGTGGGTGCGCGCGCGCGCGTGTATATATTACAACAGATGCATTAATGGCTTCTTTACAGGACACATTCATCTGTATAACGTAATCCACACGTGCGTACGATGCATTGATAGACAGACCGTATTATCGTCATCGTCATCATTAATTATTGTTGTGCGGAAACTGTTACAACGTATGGCTGAATGAATGAATGACGGTCGTGTACACACGCCCGCAAGTATGGACATCGCATTCGTACCTCTGAATAAATCATCTGTGTATATGTGGTGTGCTGTGTTATTGTATTCTATGGGCGGGGAGCGGTAGTGTAGCGGTTAGCGCTGGCTGCGTTACGAACCCCGGCGAGCCGAGTTCGATTCCCGCTCACGGCCACCAACACCGGACCTGGGACCTCCCCCTAGGTCGACTCAGCCTCAAAATGAGCACACGGTAGCGGTGCGTAAACGTCGCTACTGGGGGAGACAAAGGCGGCCGGGCGTGGTTGTTGTTTGTTCGACTCAACTCGCTCTCGTGTGCTGCTGTGACGTCCTTCGCAGCTGCTGCTCGCTAACAGCCACTTGCCCCTACGGTCTGTTAGAGGCTACACGGGGGACCTTTGTCTTTGTAGCAGTGTGTATTGTGTTCTATGGGCGCGCGTGATGTAAAATGTGCACGTATGGACGTGCATAACGCAAGCACGCACGGAGACATCCAACACTCATCTTTAGGTCCACTCAGCCTCAAATTATTAAGTGTGGGGGGGGGGGGCTGTAAAAATCATTGCCACTGGGGAGACAAAGGCGGCCGGGCGTGGTGCTAGCTACCCCCTCCTCCCACCTCCCCACCTTCCGCCGAGTGCCGCTCGCTGATAGCACTTGCCCCTATAGTCTGTGACAGGCTACACGGGAGACATTTGTCTTTGTGTGTGTGTGTAAGTGTATATATTGTATTCTATGGGCGCGTGCGATGTAAGATGTGCACGCATGGGATATGCAATCACGCAACAATCATACAAACAAAACACAGAGGGGATCTCGCGTAGGGGTAAGCTTTACCTTCATTGGTTCTCCACACCGGTCGACTCTTGCCTTGTTCATTGCATCTCTTCGCTCGCTCGCTCTCTCTCTCTGTGTGTCTCTGTGTCTCTTTTCTCTGTGTGGGTGATGCACGCGACTCGATTCCCTCGTGAATCGAGCAAGGGGGAATCGCCGCTGCGTTTCACGTGTTGTTCGATGAATAGAAAGCGGCGCGATTCGAGGGTACGTCACGAAATCGATGATGAATCGATTCCGAATTGACTGCTACTGCTACTAACACGTACCAGGCACGCGTTTATTACGTCTATGAGATATTGCTTGCGGCGTTGTTAATTTGCACTCGTAAAAATGTGTTGCTTATGCGTTGCTGTTGTGTAAATGTTCACGTCTTATATAATGTCTTTATGAAAACGAAAAATATTTTTGTTCCGTTATATTGATCCAAAAATGCATATTCATGGTTTGCGAAATAAAAAAAAGTTCGTATTATTTTTTATGTTAAATAGAAAATTAAGGATTTTTTTTGCTACAATAAAATTATAGATATTACAATTTTTTTTTATGAATTTAGGCATTTGCATCTATTGTTAAAAAATTGTTCAGTTTATAAATTCAGAAATTTGTTTTTTTTTGTCACGTTTAAAATAAGAAAACATATTTAGTACATCGGCCAATGTACCCAAGTATCTTCTTGGGCATATCCTAGTTTCTGTTATTTATAATGTATTCTTGTGCGGTGTTTATATATTTTTTTAAAGCTTATAATTGGGTTTCGATTCCATGTATTCGAATCTGTTATCGATTCTAATGACATCGATTCCGCTGACACCCAGCAACCAACACCATCACCACTGCATCATCATCACCATCATTATCACCATCATTATCACCGACCATCACAATCATTACCACCACCATCATGATCATCATTGCCACCACTATCAATACCACCATCATCATTACCACTACCATCATTACCACTATCATCATTACCACAATCATCATAAACATCACCACCCTCATCATAACCACGACCATCATTATCATCACCATTACCAACACCATCATTGCCACCACCATCATCGTAATCATTATCGGTCGTAATGGGACTCATTTTGTCTTTGCTCCGAGCCTCAAATGAGTATACATTTACACATGATGACGATCAAGGCCATAATTTTAATACACATCCCCCCCAATATTCAAATATGCTCAAAATGTCCCCCCCCCCCCCAATATAGTTATAAAAACAATAAATGCTATGCTATGGAAATAAAAACAACAATTTGCTAAACCTTGCCCACAATATCTGGACTTGTCTTCATATAAATCAATGCATAGATTTGTTTATGATTGTGGTTATGGTTGTATTTTATTAATCCCGAATTTCTTCCATTACATACAATGAAACAAGAAATGGTAAAAAAAAAAGACAAGTAAAAACAGAGCAATGTAATACAATACACTATTAGACATTATTATAAAAAAAAGTCGATCCTATGTGTTAGTGAATGTTTAAATATTTTAGGCAGGAAATGGCAGGAAACGAGTTTTCAAATATAGATATTTTTCTGGGTTGGGACCCCCAGACATACTGGAAGATTTGCCCCCCCCCCCCCCCGCAATGTTGACTCCACGGCTTTGACGACGATGATAAGCCACTTCGTGTCAGTTATCATTTGTGATAGCCAGGTCGCATCTGAAGAGAAAAAAAAGAGTTACATAGGTCGGTAGGGGGTGCCTTTGACGCCTTGGGGAAAAACAACGAAAGTCAGCAAGTACGCTGGAGCTTTATGATGGATTGTAATGTAAACAAAGGACTGTGTTGTTGTTCTTATTATCGTCGTCTTGGTGTGGTCTGGGACTGTTGCTGCTGTTAATGCCGATTTGTTGACAAATTTAGAAGGAATGTCCCGTATGTTCTTGTGTAATTCGTGAGGGATTCCTGGGTGGAGGGGTTGGTGAGGGATTCCTGGGTGGAGGGGTTGGTGAGGGATTCCTGGGTGGAGGGGTTGGCGAGGGATTCCTGGGTGGAGGGAATCCTGGGTGGAGGGGTTGGTGAGGGATTCCTGTGTGGAGGGGTTGGTGAGGGATTCCTGGGTGGAGGGGTTGGTGAGGGATTCCTGGGTGGAGGGGTTGGTGAGGGATTCCTGGGTGGAGGGATTCCTGGGTGGAGGGGTTGGTGAGGGATTCCTGGGTGGAGGGGTTGGTGAGGGATTCCTGGGTGGAGGGAATCCTGGGGGGAGGGATTGGTGAAGGATTCCTGGGTGGAGGGAATCCTGGGGGGAGGGGTTGGTGAGGGATTCCTGGGTGGAGGGAATCCTGGGGGGAGGGGTTGGCGAGGGATTCCTGGGTGGAGGGGTTGGCGAGAGATTCTTGGGTGGAGGGATTGGCGTGGGATTCCTGGGTGGAGGGATTGGTGAGGGATTCTTGGGTGGAGGGATTGGCGTGGGATTCCTGGGTGGAGGGATTGGCGGGAGATTCCTGGGTGGAGGGGTTGGTGAGGGATTCCTGGGTGGAGGGGTTGGCGAGGGATTCCTGGGTGGAGGGGTTGGCGTGGGATTCCTGGGTGGAGGGATTCCTGAGTGGAGGGGTTGGCGTGGGATTCCTGGGTGGAGGGGTTGGCGAGGGATTCCTGGGTGGAGGGATTCCTGGAGGGGTTGGCGAGGGATTCCTGGGTGGAGGGGTTGGCGTGGGATTCCTGGGTGGAGGGGTTGGCGAGGGATTCCTGGGTGGAGGGATTGGCGAGGGATTCCTGGGTGGAGGGGTTGGTGAGGGATTCCTGGGTGGAGGGGTTGGTGAGGGATTCCTGGGTGGAGGGATTGGCGTGGGATTCCTGGGTGGAGGGATTGACGTGGGATTCCTGGGTGGAGGGATTGGTGAGGGATTCTTGGGTGGAGGGATTGGCGTGGGATTCCTGGGTGGAGGGATTGGCGGGAGATTCCTGGGTGGAGGGGTTGGTGAGGGATTCCTGGGTGGAGGGGTTGGCGAGGGATTCCTGTGCGGAGGGGTTGGCGTGGGATTCCTGGGTGGAGGGATTGGCGAGGGATTCCTGGGTGGAGGGGTTGGCGAAGGATTCCTGGGTGGAGGGATTCCTGGGTGGAGGGATTGGCGAGGGATTCCTGGGTGGAGGGGTTGGCGAGGGATTCCTGGGTGGAGGGTTTGGCGAGAGATTCCTAGGTGGAGGGGTTGGTGAGGGATTCCTGGGTGGAGGGGTTGGCGAGGGATTCCTGGGTGGAGGGGTTGGCGAGGGATTCCTGGGTGGAGGGGTTGGTGAGAGATTCCTGGGTGGAGGGGTTGGTGAGGGATTCCTGGGTGGAGGGATTCCTGGGTGGAGGGGTTGGCGAGGGATTCCTGGGTGGAGGGATTGGCGAAGGATTCCTGGGTGGAGGGATTCCTGGGTGGAGGGGTTGGCGAGGGATTCCTGGGTGGAGGGGTTGGCGAAGGATTCCTGGGTGGAGGGTTTCCTGGGTGGAGGGGTTGGTGAGGGATTCCTGGCTGGAGGGGTTGGTGAGAGATTCCTGGGTGGAGGGGTTGGCGTGGGATTCCTGGGTGGAGGGGTTGGTGAGGGATTCCTGGGTGGAGGGGTTGGTGAGGGATTCCTGGGTGGAGAGGTTGGCGTGGGATTCCTGGGTGTAGGGGTTGGCGTGGGATTCCTGGGTGGAGGGGTTGGTGAGGGATTCCTGGGTGGAGGGGTTGGTGAGGGATTCCTGGGTGGAGGGGTTGGTGAGGGATTCCTGGGTGGAGGGGTTGGTGAGGGATTCCTGGGTGGAGGGGTTGGTGAGGGATTCCTGGGTGGAGGGGTTGGTGAGGGATTCCTGGGTGGAGGGGTTGGTGAGGGATTCCTGGGTGGAGGGGTTGGCGAGGGATTCCTGGGTGGAGGGATTGGCGTGGGATTCCTGGGTGGAGGGGTTGGTGAGGGATTCCTGGGTGGAGGGGTTGGTGAGGGATTCCTGGGTGGAGGGGTTGGTGAGGGATTCCTGGGTGGAGGGGTTGGTGAGGGATTCCTGGGTGGAGGGGTTGGCGAGGGATTCCTGGGTGGAGGGATTGGCGTGGGATTCCTGGGTGGAGGGGTTGGTGAGGGATTCCTGGGTGGAGGGATTGGCGTGGGATTCCTGGGTGGAGGGGTTGGTGAGGGATTCCTGGGTGGAGGGGTTGGCGTGGGATTCCTGGGTGGAGGGGTTGGCGTGGGATTCCTGGGTGGAGGGGTTAGTGAGGGATTCCTGGGTGGAGGGGTTAGTGAGGGATTCCTGGGTGGAGGGGTTGGCGAGGGATTCCTGGGTGGAGGGGTTGGCGAGGGATTCCTGGGTGGAGGGATTCCTGGGTGGAGGGGTTGGTGAGGGATTCCTGGGTGGAGGGGTTGGCGTGGGATTCCTGGGTGGAGGGGTTGGTGAGAGATTCCTGGGTGGAGGGGTTGGTGAGGGATTCCTGGGTGGAGGGGTTGGTGAGGGATTCCTGGGTGGACGGGCTGGCAAGGGATTCCTGTGTGGAGGGGTTGGTGAGGGATTCCTGGGTGGAGGGGTTGGTGAGGGATTCCTGGGTGGAGGGGTTGGTGAGGGATTCCTGGGTGGAGGGATTCCTGGGTGGAGGGGTTGGCAAACATTTTGCAAATCAGGGCACGCGTGGAAAATCATTTTGAGAGCCAGCGAAAGTGTTTTAGGCTAAACAAAGACAGGAGTGTATCTGCAATCTGCCCGTGTTATAAAAAATACACACACACGCTGAATATGTGACAATAAACAAAGGGGCCTTTATTTTACAATTTAAAGAAAGAGGCCCTGTCTTCCTCAGGTCAGCGAGATAGTCTAATTAGGTCGACTGCTGGTCAGACTTACCACAAAATTGGTAGTCATTTTACGGACCCTCTCCGCGATGATGGGCTATTAATTTATCATTATCAACAACCGTGGATGAAGGCCTCCTCAGGCTGTCGCAATCCCTCACGATCCTCCACCCATGGCAATAAAATCCACCCAGTACCTTGCACGCGAGCTGATCTCATCGCTCCATCTTCATCTTGGCTGCCGCCGAGACAAGCACATCGTCCATCATCGTTTCTAGCAACGCGATGGGCGAGCTGGTAGCCCACCAACTCAAATACCGTGTGTCAACGAAAGATGAGATGACGATTCCTTTCGTATCTCTAATAACAGAGCAGTGGCGTCC